ACTTCTGGCCCCTAGTTGGCCTCCTGCCTTGGCTTGTCTGTCTGTCTGTCTGTCTGTCTGTCTGTCTGTCTGTCTATCTATCTATCTATCTATCTCTCAATAAAGACTTATTCAGAGTTTAGACATTCTGTTTAAGTATGACAAAAATATTTCATTATTAATGAAATATAGTAAGTTGTATATATAGTCAGTACTGTTTTAGAATGAGAGTTACAGTAAGAGAAGCGAAAGTTTTGTTATAAGCCATTATGATTTAGAATGATTTAACTGGGCCAGGGAGATAGCTCAGCAGTATAAGTGCCTGCCTGGCAGGCACAAAGTTCTGAGTTCCATCCCTGGTACTGTGTGTGTGTGTGTGGGAGATGATTGAAATTTTTCATTGTAAAAATAGAGGGTTTAGATTTTTAATGCCAAGAATATTGAATAGTAACAAAGCAGTTTGGTGCTGCAGGAGCTGCTTATTAGTTTAAGGATCTTCCTCTTGTTGCGTATATTCTGGGGATAGGGGCATTGGTGGTGAGGGGTGCTGCTGCTTTTATACCTGAGTAACTATAGCTGGATAAATGAACTGTCTTTAAAGCCATGATCTGGGGTCAGGTATGGTGGCTGCACCTCTGGAGGCTGATGCTAGAGGATTACTGGGAGTTTGAGGCCAGCTTGGGGTACATAGTAGAAGGCAGCCTGACCTACATGGTGAGACCCTATCTTAAAACAAAAGGCAGTAGTCTGGCCTGGTGGTTTATGCCTATAATCTCAGCACTCTGAAAGGCTGAGATAGGAGAGTCCTGAGTTTAAGCCTAGCCTGGGAAGTTTAATGATTTAATATATCATTGTTTCATATTTAAAAAATAGGAAAAGGCCTTTCAACATAGCTCAGTGCAGAGGAACTGAGTTCAGTCCCCAGTACTGCAGGAAGGGGATTGATCAGTGGCTTTTGTGTTATGGTTTGCTTTCAAGACATACATGTGTATATACATACAGATCATGGCACACTATGTATGTGGGACTCTTCCTGATAGACCCTCTTCTCCTTCATTATAGAAAGAAATTTACTGCTCATTGCACTGCTTTGGACTTGAAAAGCAAAACAAAAATAGAAAAAGAAGTTGTAATAACCAGAAATCAGAAACTTAGAAATTTGGCTATTACAATACTTGGGAGCCTTTACCTTTAAGGCTCTTTAAGCCTTTGCTGTTATGCTAGTGCTTCTATTTCTCTGAATGAACCTGTTGCCAGTACAGGAAAAAGTATATATATATATATATATATATATATATATATGTATAAAAGTTCAAATCAATAAAATAAATATCTAATTTTTTTTGTAGGTGAACGTCAAATTTGAAATATTTAAACTATTTCCACAATGCAGACAATTAAGTGCGTTGTTGTGGGCGACGGTGCTGTTGGTAAAACATGTCTCCTGATATCCTATACAACAAACAAATTTCCATCTGAATATGTACCAACTGTAAGTATAAGGGCTTCCATCTGTTAGTGACTTGTAAATTTAAATCTTTTGAAAACACTTTCTCTGTACACTGAAGTTTTTCTGTTGTCTGGCTTTGTTTCCTGTTTTTAAAAAATCTTGACTTCTCATGGGTAAATTATATATACTTTGAAATTAAACAGCTGAGAAATCAGTGGAAAGTCAGAAAGGATGACAGAAGGGTTTGCCAGAAGTGCTAGGAAACAAAACTTCAGTGGATGAGATCCTGAGGAGTGTTGGTCTCAGTTTGGAGGAAAGATATATGCTTTACATCTTGAATGAAGTAAATTTTTTTGACCCCTTGATATTTTGGCCAATGATTGATCAATGCTTGGAGACTCCTAGGATGCCAAATGGGGTCTTGTAACTTCAGAGAAAGTAGTATGTCTCTGCTTTGTGGAGCTGTTCTCTTAGCAGTAATAGAGCTCCATACTGGCTCCTAGGAACAGAGAACACATGTTCTGTTGAGTCTGTAGACAGAAAGTATCAATTCCTTGGAGGGGTAGAGGGAACATGGGAGTAATAAAGATAATGAGGTGAAAGAGTGATAGATTCGTGAAAGCATGTGTTTGGGGATCCATTGTTTCCCTCAGGTTGCTTGGCCAGCCTAGTGGTATTGATTATGTTAAAAACGTGTCAGGTTAGTGGTGAGAAGGGTGTTGGTGTTGTCCTGGCATGGCAGTAACCATCTCTGTTAAGTGAGCCATTTTAGGGGTATGAAGAGCTGATGTATGATTAATGTGGGACTAGTACTCTTGAAGTGAAAGGCCAGAATGTGTGTGAATACTTTTTAATCTTCAGAGATACAAGAACGGAACCTTGTCAGGAAGGTGAATACAGGTTAAAGCCTTGGTAATGATGTTCAGTTAGAAGTGGCAGTCTCTGTAATATTCCCACGCATGTGAAATGATTGAGTTACGACAAGGAAATAGGAAGAAGATGCGTGAGAGACTTTGAATGTGTGATTAGATACAAAAGTCAAGAGTTTTGAGCAGGTCCATTTAGTGATAGTACACATGGAAGACTGTGAGATGGTGAAGAACTTTAGGAGAAACATGGTTCTTGTTTCAAAATGATACCATCAGGATTTTTATGTTTTAGTCTCTATTAATTTTATTTATTTGTAAGCATGATTTCTGAGTCTGTTTTCCAACTTTTATTACTTGGCATTACATTGAAGGTGGGCTTGTGTTTGTTTTGTATGTGTTTATGTGGATCTCTGGAAAAAGGGTAGGTAGAGGAAGAAAAATAGAATAAAATTGTAAATGATCCAATTTAAGTAAATAGATCATGAGACACAAATAGTGTGCCCATGATACATGTTTGTTATTATGGAAATGGATTTGGTATAAAATGTGTATTTATGTACATCTAGGAACAGAGTTACTATTTTTAAAATAATGAATTTTAGAATTGAAGGAATTGTACCTTAACTCCTAAAGATAGGGAATTTGGGTCCAATTTAGGGCTGAGAGCAATCTTAAGCAAACACTAGTATGAACAGAGTCTGACCTAGATGACAACTTCTCTGGTTCTTTTGGTTTCCTTTTGCTTCTAAGATGGAAGAGTTTTGTTATTTTGTCCAAACTAGTCTCAAACTTCTGGCCCCTAGTTGGCCTCCTGCCTTGGCTTGTCTGTCTGTCTGTCTGTCTGTCTGTCTGTCTGTCTGTCTATCTATCTATCTATCTATCTATCTATCTATCTATCTATCTATCTAAAACAGAATGTCTGCTGCTTCTCTGATTCTTAGTCTGGTCTTGCATATGAACAGTTTAGCAAATGAGAGCTACTTTTGAGCCCCCCCATTATTGTACTAGAGATTAAATCCAGGGACTTCATCTTGAGCTACATTATCCCCTCCCCCCCTTTTTCTTTTGTCTTTCTAAGACAGGGTCTTGCTATGCAGTTCAGGCTGGTCTCATACTCACAATGATCTCTGACCTCAGCCTCCTGAGACCTGGGATTACAGGTGTATGCTACCATGCCAGGCTTCCAACCCTTTTTTTTTGTTTTTGGTGCCCCCCCCCCCCCCTTTTGTGGTACTGGGGATTGAACTCAGGTCCTTGCGCATGCCAGGCAAGCGCTTATTCTACTGAGCTATCTCCCCAGCCCTCTTTCTCTTTTTCTTTTCCTTTCTTCCCTTCCTTCCTCCCTTCCTCCCTTCCTTCCTCCCTTTCTCCCTCCCTTCCTCCCTCCCTTCCTTCCTTCTTTCCTTCTTTCCTTCTTTCCAGTACCAGGGATTGAACTTGTTCTTGCCAGGCAGGCACTTATTTTACTGAGCTATTTCCCCAGGTGCGCCCCCCTCTTTTTTAGTGGTCTCCTGTATGGTCCAGACTGGCCATGAACTCAGTTTACCTGGTTTAAAAAAGCTCTTGAATTAACACATGGACCATTAAAACATGGACCAGCTGGGCATGGTGGCACATGCCTGTAATCCCAGTGCTCTTGAGGCTGAGGCAAGAAGATAGTTGTGAGTTTGAGACCAGCCTGGGCTGCATCATGAGTTCAAGGCCAGCCTGAACTGCATAGCAGGACCCTGTCTCAAAAGACCAAGACAAGCAGGGCAGGGTAGTGCATGTCTAGTACTCAGGAGAGCTGAGACAGGAGGCTGAAGAGTTCAGGGTCAACCTGAATTATAGTGAGCTCAAGGCCAACTTGAACTACACAGCCAGACCCTGTTTCAAAAAAAAAAGAAACAGTTGCCAAAATAAAAAACCAAAAAAAAGTGGTTGCTAAAAGGTTAACATGTTCCTGCTGCCTTAAACATACATGCATGACTATCCCATTGGGTGGCTTGCACCATTGATGGTGCAAACAGTTCTGATCACTTTTATTGATCTTTTTACTAATAAAATTAATAAAAAGCTACCCAATGGGACAGTAATGCACATACCACCAGTAGTTCAAGGTGCCTGGCAGTGAGACCCACAAATTATATCCCCATTATGAATGTGTTAAGCAGGGATACTCTTCAAATGCAGCACATTGCTCCCATTTGGAATGCATTGCTTTTCTTCTTTAAAAAAATTGAGTCATTTAAATTACTTTCATTTACTTATTTATGTATTGTGTTGTATAGTATTGTATTGTATTGGTGTAGCGTCTCACTACGCAGATTGGATTCATAGTGATCCTCTTGTTTTTAGCCTCCCCAGCGCTGGGATTATAGGCGTGTGCCACTATGCCCAGTCTTGGTCACTTGCTCATTGTGCCCCGGGGGCAAGGCCTGCATGGCCTGTGGTGTCGGGAATCGAACCCTGGTCTCTGCGCTTGCCTAATAAGCAGGCACTTAGTTCACTGAGCTATTTCACTGGCCTGAGTCATTTTTTTCTTAATTTTTTTTTTTTTTTTTTAATGTATTTAGTACAGGATCTACAGGGTTTCACTACACAGATCAGACTCATAGTGATCCTTTCTGTTTTTCAGCCTCCCAAGTGCTGAGATAATAGGTGGGCACCACCATGCCCAATCTCATTCTCCATCTCAGTGTGCCCTGGTGGGGGTAAACCCTGGCCCCTGTGTCTGCCTAAGCAGGTGCTTTAATCTGCTGAGCTATCTCTCTGGCCTGAGTCATTTTTACTTTATTTTTTAATTTTTTTTTTTGTTTTTTGTAGTTTAGTACAGGGTCTACAGGGTTTCACTATGACTGATCCGCCTGTGTTCAGCTTTGCAAGAGCTGGGATTACAGGCTCATGCCACCATGCCCAGACTCAGTCACTGTTTCAGTGAGCCCTGGGGGCGGGGCTGGCAGGGTACGCAGGGGATCAAACCCTGGCTGCTGCGTCTGCCTAAGCAGGAGCTTTAGTCTGCTGAGCGATTTGTCTGGCCCTGAGTCATTTTAAAAAATTTAAAAAAAATTGTAAATTGATACAGCTATAGTTCTATATCAAAACATTGTGTTTTGATTATAGAGTACTTCAAAGAAAACCATGAATTACTGTTCCATCTTTTTCCATTTATATTCATTCATCTATTTTCATAAAAATACAGTACAACTAACATTAGTTATATACTGAGTTTGTTAAAGGTTTCGAGGCCTATTTATAAATAAAGTCTCTAGTCAGAGGAGACATTGTAGATCATGTGGTTTGTGTCCAGTGGCAGGAATTTTTTAAATTTATTATTTGTGTTTGGGAAGGGGTCAAACTTAGGCCCTTGTATGTGCTAGTCAAAGGCTCTACCAGTAAGCTGTATCCCTGATTTATTTTTATTTATTTATTTTTGCGGAACCAGGGATTGAACTCAGGTCCTTGTGCTTGCCAGGCAGGCACTTATTCTACTGAGCCATCTCCCCAGCCTTGTTTCCCTACTTTAATGTGAATTTTGTTCATGAAACAAATAATCTCTCCCCTCCTCCCTTCCTTCCCCTCCCTCTCCCTTTCTTTATATCTAGTGTATTCCTAACACTTGATACTTAACTCACATAATTTATTTATGTTTATCTGTAGCATGATTTCCTTAATGAAATGAACTAGTACAGCTTAGTCAAAGCAAATGAAATGATAATGATCTGAATTGTCTGTCAACGCCTGTTAGCTAAATTTATAACCTTGAAATTACTTAGTGTAGTTGAAGTTTTAAATACAGAAAGCACAAGAATAAACCCACATAACATATAGAATAGGTGATCATCTGAGTAGCTTAGAAGATGGACTTTAATCCATCTTCTAATCCCAGTAATCCTGTAATTCTGTAATCCCAGTGTTTGGGAGGCTGAAGACAGGGCGCTCACTACAAGTCAAATTACGTAGTGAGACCCTGTAGACCCTTTACATATAAAATATAAAAATATGTATTTTTTATATGAAATATAAAAAAGTCCTAAATTATTAAAAAAAACAAACAAAACAGAATTAAGTACCCCGTAACAAAAAGATCCCAAGCACAACCATTGGTTTCTCTTCATATACTTACCTTGCATTGTCACTGAAGACACTGTTAAGAGAAACTTTATATATATATCTATATATCTATATATATCTATATATAGATATATAGATATATATATATCCCCCTGAACCGGGGATTGAACTCAGGCCCTTGTGCTTGCCAGGGTAGCGCTTACTCTACTGAGCCATCTCCCCAGCCCCCTGAGAAACCTTATTTTCAAACCAGAAAACAAAATAGAACTCAAGTGACCAGATTTTAACTCTGAGAAATAAAACTCTGAAAGCATTTTAAGTTGTAAGTTTTCTCATGTAAAAATGAAAAATGATGACTTGTTTTTATCATGCAGAAACAAGCATTCAGTTACTATTCAGAAGAACATGTTAATATGTTCAGTAAATTCAGTATGTTAGTCTTCAGTTTGAAGTTACATATCTCAAGACAAATGTTCAATTCACATGTCTCGGTTGGACCTTCACCA